CCCCCCCCCCCCCCACCACTCCAGCAACCCTCAGTTTGTTCCCTGAGATTAAGAATTCCTCATATCAGTGAGGTCATATGATACATGTCTTTCTCTGACTCATAACACCCTCCAGTTCCATCTACGTCGTTGCAAATGGCAAGATCTCATTCCTTTTGATGGCTGCATAATATTCCATTGTGTATATATACCACATCTTTATCCATTCATCTGTCGATGGACATCTTGGCTCTTTCCACAGTTTGGCCATTGTGGACATTGCTGCTATAAACATTGGGGTGCATGTACCCCTTCGGATCCCTACATTTGTATCTTTGTGGTAAATACTCAGTAGTCAAAAAGTTGAAAATAGAGCTACCATATTTTTTTTTTTTAAAGATTTATTTATTTACTTGACAGAGAGCACAAGCAGGGGGAGTGGCGGGCAGAGGGAGAGGGAGAAGCAGGGAGCCCGATGCAGGGCTCCCAGGACTCTGGGATCATGACCTGAGCCTAAGGCAGATGCCTAACCAACTGAGCCACCCAGACGCCCCAGCACATAATGATTTTATAGGATAAAATCTGATCTCTGAAAATGTTTATCTAGGAACAGGATCTGACTGTTCTAATGTTCTTGAAATCATTATTACTGAATAAAAATATATAATAATTATAAGCTATGTGAAATTCTATATTCTATAGCCTATATTATGTTAAATATATTATATTATTGTTATAATAATAAACTATGTGAAATTATAGCTAGTAAAGGAAGGGCTAAAGCTTTATATAACCATTGATATCTTGTTTTAATTTTATTCACCTATCTACGAATAAAATGTTTTAGAATTTAGAAGTATTGTATTCTTTTCATTAAAGTTCCTTTAAAGTGAGTGCTCAAGCTTTGATTTTTCTCTTTCCTTAAAGACTTATTTACATTTGTCTTCCAACTTCCCCCTCCTTTAATAATTCAACTACTTGTTAGGATCATTTTTCCACTTTCTTATAAAATTTTCATGTAAAATTATGCTCCTAGGCTTGATTTGAATTTTGTAGGACTATTGCTTATCTACTCACCACTGGTGTTTTGTCAAACATAAGCGTAGTAATAAAAAATCATTGGAGCCTTATCATACTTCAAACTGATTGCTCCCTACTCAGTAAAACCTCTTCTTAATCACTTTTCCACAAATTTGCTATCCTCTGTGTTTTTTCATGCACTTACTGACATCTAACTTGTTTCATATTTTACTTTTTTATGTTATTATATGTCCCTGTCTTCTCCTCCCTTAGAATTTAAGTTCTGTGAGGGCAGGGCTTCTTCAGTTTTGTTAACTGTTCTTTCCACAGTTTCAAGGAGCGTCCCTGGCGAATAGTAAGTACCCTGTGTATGACTAAATGAAAAGTACTGAATCTGCCTTTAAGTAAAGGAAATGGATGCAAGGGTTTTACAAGTTGAGGGAACCTCGTAGAGAAAGCAGATGAAGCAAACTGATGTTGTGTAGGCAGAATTGACCCAAATAAATATTTTGTTTGGCTCAATGAAAAGTTTTCTAGTAATGAATTTTATTTCCTTTAGGTACCTTGGGCAGTTCTCACTACTCATTATTGTCTCCTACCCTAAATGCATACATTGTTAACTATTTGAATATTGTAATCATATGAGTTTGTGGCCCCTTGTGTAAAAGTGTGAAATGCATGGCATGCTTATGTCAAAGTTATTGAGCTGCCCTTGTTAAGTAGACCATATGGGAAGTAAAATTGCTAAGACAATTGCTAAGACTAAATTGTCTTTAGACCTAAACTATCCCATAATGATACTTGGACTTCAGTCAGTGGATAATGGAGAGAAAGGTGTGATGTGACATGTGCTCTGGGGTTGAGTGGTAGGTGGTTCTTTATCCTAGGGAGGATCAAAAAGGATCACTAGATGAGGAAGAAAAGATTTGTATAGTAAGATATATTTTTGACATTTGACTTAGATTATTGGCTTTTAAAGAACAGTATTTCCTCTATAATATTTTCATCTGAAATTATAGTCTTAAGATGGTATTTTCCAGTCAAAATATAATGCAAGCCTCATATGTAATTTATTTTATTTTATTATGTTATGTTAATCACCATACATTACATCATTAGTTTTTGATGTAGTGTTCCATGATTCATTGTTTGCGTATAACACCCAGTGCTCCATTCAATACGTGCCCTCCTTAATACCCATCACCAGGCTAACCTATCCCGCCACGCTCTTCCCTCTAGAACCCTCAGTTTGTTTCTCAGAGTCCATAGTCTCTCATGGTTTGCATCCCCCTCCCATTCCCCCCCTTCGTTTTTCCCTTCCTACTGTCTTCTTCTTCTTTAATATATAATGTATTATTTGTTTCAGAGGTACAGGTCTGTGATTCAACAGTCTTGCACAATGCACAGTGCTTACCATACCACATACCCTTCCCAATGTCTATCACCCAGCCGCCCCATCCCTCCCACCCCCCACCACTCCAGCAACCCTCAGTTTGTTATTTAGAAATTTCTAGTAAAACATAGCCAGTGAAATTAATTTTAATAATGTATATTATTTAACCTTGTATATCCTAAATTTTATCACTTCAACATATACTCAATTAAAAATTATAAGAGATATTTTGCATTATTTTTTATTCTAAATCTTCAGAATCCTGTCTATACATATTTATAACATTTATCACCTAGGACTAGCCACATTTCAAGGGCTCAGTAGCTACACATGACTAGGGGCTACTGTATTGTACAATGCGGCTTCAAGGTTTGGTTTGAATTTTGGAAGGTCTGTCATTTATCTAAATAGCGTTGGTAGTAGGTTATGTATTGGCGATGACAGTTGAAAATCTTGATGGGAGGTTTAGCATAGAGATATTGTTCTATGAAGCTGTGAAAGCGTAAGATATCATCTAGAGAGAATGATTTTATGGAAAAAAGCCAAATAAATAAGTTTCAGCTGTTCCCGTCTTTTAAGCAAAGGGCACTGGGGAGTAGTAATCTGAGGGTCATGAAAGCCAAAAGGGACAGTACTTCCAGGAAAGTGAGATTTGCTTTTCATATACCATGGCTAGGTTGAAAGGTTTATGCTGAGTAAGATGCATGGCATTTGCCCATGTGCAACTCATTTGTGACTTTATATAAAGAAAGGATTCAGTGGAATGGTGGAGTCAATTTATTTGCCCGTTGGTTTGGATCTCGGGAAAGCACTTCTCTTTCACAGTATCTTGTGTGTGTGTGTGTGTGTGCTCATGATAATTAATTTTATTCCATTAAAATTTCCTTTGAGATCTCTTCTTTAGTCAATTTATAGAAAAATAGGTTGAAACCATTTTTTATTCATAACTTATTTTATTTCTTTAGTTTGCTTTGAAAGTGGCATTATTTAACCTGATGTTCTGGAAAGGGCTTCAGGTAACAAACTGTCATTCAGAAAATTATCTTAAAATTTTACGTTTCTGAATATAATTAAATTTTGGATAGCAAAGGAAATATATAGTTCTATATTTAAATTATTAGGTATGGCATTTGAAAAATTCATACATAATTATTGTAAGTCAGCAATCTTAAAATTTGATATTCTGGATATTTTTAGCTTGATAATCTTTTCTTTTTCTTTAGTCATCAAGAGTTCATATAACTAGAGCTGTCCTGGAGCAATTTTTATCCTTTGCAAAATACCTTGATGGTTTATCTCATGGAGCACCTTTGCTAAAGCAGCTTTGTGATCACATTTTATTCAACCCAGCCATCTGGATACATACACCTGCAAAGGTATAAATTTCATTCTCATTCATTTTATTTTAGTGTAATGTTAATAAATTATAGTTATGGATCTAAACTATGCAGTAGAAAGCATTTGGATTTTTTTCAGCATATTTTATAGTCAACCTGAAACAGTTTTATTACCAGAATCAGCAATCAAAATATTAAATATGTAAATATTAAAATAAATGAAACTGTAATTTAAGCTTGATATAATAACTGCATTCTGAAGTTAGTAGTTGTGATTCATATCTTTGCAAGAAGGGATTTGGTACACTGATTATTAAGACTAAGAAAAGAGAAAATAATAGGTAACTAATTATATAATGATAATTATAATCATTGTGACTGTAAAACTGCTTATATTGTGAATATAGAGTTTATATCATGATTGTAAATATTATTTGTTTTAAAATAAATATATACATTGTTTTTTATATATTAACATAAAATTTTTATTATTTTGCATACCTAAATTTAAAATCAGTAATGAGGGACATCCTTCATAAATGTGAGCTGCCTTTTACAGTTTTCAAATTTTCCACATAACTTTGGTTAAATTATATAGGGTCTGACTTCTGTTATTGTTTAGCATGTTAATTGTGGTGCTAAACTCAAACTTTGTTCACTTTTTAAGCAAGATGTTTGACTTGTCATCTGCTTATAGCGTTAGATTCTGATACTGTGGCAATGGGTTAAGAAAATTTGGAATTATGTGAACTTTTAGGATATAAGACTGTGTATATTTTTCCCAAATATGATATAGCTGACTAATGTTAGTTCTGTTCTTCTGAGCTGCTGAAATGTACTTTCTAAAGGGCTTTAGTCTAGGTAACTTTTTAAATAATTTGCTCTACCTGTCAGTTACTTTTGATCAATTAACTCATTTAAAATTATTTCATTGTTAATAGCTACAGATTACCTTTATTAAAATAAGTTTTATTAGAATGTGTTGGCTATGGATTATTTTCTTTTAAAAATATAAATAATATTTAATAAATAGTTATTTTTAACCTCATTATAAATGGTTCTTTCTTCATCTTTACTAATTTGCATTTAAATTAGAATATATATTTATAATATAAACACTTGAGGCATTTAAAATTTAATGCTTTGTTAATATTCTGTATTAGGTTCAGCTTTCCCTATACACTTACTTGTCTGCTGAATTTATTGGAACTGCTACCATTTACACCACCATACGCAGAGTAGGAACAGTATTACAGCTAATGCACACATTAAAATATTACTACTGGGTCATTAATCCTGCTGACAGTAGCGGCATTACACCTAAAGGATTAGGTAAGTACAACACTACCACTACATTCATTGTACTACTACTGTTTTATATCCTGAGTATTGTTATAGGAAATATCACTGAACTATTATCTTTCTTATATAGTAGCCTTGTTATATTGAGAAGTTTTTGTGGTAGAGAAGTTTATAGTTCTGAAATATTAAGTTATTTTTGGAATGAAGGCAGGTAAGAATAAAATTCTGCCTTTTAGCCTATATGCTTGTTGTGGCTCAGGAAAATATATTCATAATATTAAAAATCAGATGAAGTGCTAAGTGAAAGAAGTCAAGCAGAGAAAGTCAATTATCATATGGTTTCACTTATTTGTGGAACATGAGGAATAGCATGGAGGACATTAGGAGAAGGAAGGGACAAATGAAGGGGGGGAAATCGGAGGGGGAAACGAACCATGAGAGACTATGGACTCTGAGAAACAAACTGAGGGTTCTAGAGGGGAGGGTGGTGGGGGAATGGGTCAGCCTGGTGATGGGTATTAAAGAGGGCATGGGTTGCGTGGAGCCCTGGGTGTTATATGAAAACAATGAATCATGGAACACTGCATCAAAAACTAATGATGTATGGTGACTAACAACATAATAAAATAAAATTAAAAGATAAAGATGAAAGAAGAAAAAAAAAATCAGATAAAGTTGATCATGGCCAGTGTGTTCTAATACAATTGTTTCAAACCTTTGAGATAGTTACCTTTCTTTATATTTTTTCCCCAAACTTCACCCTTTATTCTAAGTATAGTAGAAAGTAATTTAATACTTCATTTTGTTGCTTAAAAAATATTGCCAGGGCACCTGGGTGGCTCAGTCAGTTGAGCATAGGTCTCTTGGTTTCTCTCCTTCTCCCTGTGCCTCTCTCCCAGCTCGTGTGCATGCACATGTGTGTGCGCACTTTCTTTTTCTCTAGAATAAAATAAATAAAATCTTTGAAAAAATAAAAATAAAAATAAAAAATATTGCCAATTTTCCTAATTATGTAAAAATGCATACTCATCATAGAAAATAAAATGATATAGAAGAAAAATATTATTCATAACCCAACCCCAGGAATAAGAAGTTATGTTCTTATTGTGTATGTTTTTCCACTAATTTTCATTGCATTAAATGTGTGAAATATTTAAACTCTTTTACAGAATTGAGATTTTCTTGATTTTTTTTGTTATCTTCTTGACTCTACATAGTAATCTAAAAGAATGTACCATTTACAAGTTTCTAAAATTTTGATTCAATAAATAACGCAGTGATCTATTCCTTTGTATATAATCATTTACTTCCATTTTTGATTTGTTTAAAATTACTGAGACTAATTACTGTGTTGTATGTGAGAGTGCTTTTCTCAGCATACTAACAATAGCGTTGAAAATTATTGTTTTATAAAAATCTTTTTAATAAGGCAAAATAACATTTCACTATTTTAATTTTCATTTATTAGCTTATGTCTTTTATTGACAGGACTTTAAAAATTGTATTATTTGCATGCAATCTCTTATATATAATTCTGTCATTCATGGCTTTTTCTATTGCTTTTAATCTTGATAATGCCTAAAATTTACTGAATGTTCACCATGAGTTTGAATCTACGCTAAGCATCCTGTTAATTTTGTTTAATCATTTCTATATAATGTAATTATATATGCATAGGCATGTTTACACACACATCGGATTATATAACTTTGCTGTCAGTATCACTGTTATTTTGTAGGTTAGGAAACAAAGTTGGTACAAAGTAACAGAACTAAAATTTGAATCATGTCTATGTGACTCAGAGCCCTTCTCAAACACTACACTCTGATAGAGTTTTCTTTACCCCAAACAAATCATATATTCATACATATTCATTTCTGCTTCAGAAAACTAATTTCTAATTTACAGAAAGTTGCAAGAGTTATACAAAGAATTATCATAACCCCCGCCATGATTCCCAGTATTTTATATTTTACCACATACACTTTATCATGTATATATAGTCATATATACATGCACATATTTTTTTCTGAATAAATTGAGAATAAATTGTAGATGTGATACCATATTACCTTAAATATTTTACTGTTTATTTCCTAAAAGGCATAGTCTTAGATAACCAAGGGCAACCATTAAAATCAAGTAATTAACATTAATACATGGATCATCTAATCCAAAGATTGCATTAAATTTCACCAATTATTCCAATAATATCCTTTCCAGAAAAAAAAAAAAATCTTTTTTTTCTCTCTGAATCCCAGCTGAGGATTGTATATTGCATTTAGTTGCCTTGTCACTTTAATATTCTTCAATATAGAATGATTTATTTTTAGTATTTCTTTGTCTTCCATGACCTTGATATTTTTGAAGAATACAGACAAATTACTTTTTAGAATGTCTCCTAATTTGGATTTGTTTGATATTTGCTCATGATGATCCAGGTTTTTCATTTTTGATTGGAATCACATAGAAGTCATACCAATTCTGTCACATTTATCACGTCAAGAGGCACATGACTTGGAGTTGTCTTATTACTGGAGAAGTTGCCTTTGATCATTTTGATTAATGTGGTATCTGCCAGGGTTCTTCATTATAAAATTACTGCTTTCTCTTTTGGAATAATAAGTATTTGGTGAAGAAATACATTGAGACTATGTAAATATCCTGTTCTTCAACAAACCTTTGCTTACTGGTTTTGGTTCATCAATGACTTGTCATAATTGATCTTTACTGTGATTGCTGCTAAATGACCGTATTTTCTAAGACATTTACTAGTTTGAATTCTACTACAAGAAGGAACTTGTTTTTTCTCTTCCATTTATTTGTTCATTTTATATCAGCATAAATTTCATGGATTTCTACTTCATCCTGTTTATTATATCAATAGTTGGTACATTTTCTCTGCAAGGGGCCACACAGAAATGTTTTAGGCTTAGGGAGCCATAAGGGCTCTGTTACAAGTAGTCAACTCTGCCAGTGTATAGCCAAAACAGACATAGACAGTATGTGAATGAATAGATATGGTTTGTTTCAGTGAAACTTGAAAAATGTTAAGGCTTAATGGATTTAGCCCAGCGACTATCCCCTGGGTTGTATCATTATTTATTGGATGTTAAGGTTGTCCCAGATTTGGCTTGTAGGAGACCTTCACATGAGATCTTGGGTCTTTATGACAGATGTTCATAATTTTTTAGTGCTTGCTCTCTGCCACAAGATGTTTTTGGTTCATTTTATACTTACCCAGTCCTGGAATCAACCATTTCTCCAAAGAGCCCTGGTTTGTCTTGGTGGATATGGTTTTTGAGATTTAGGTGTTCAGTGTGCTTATTGTGCTTATTGCTCTTTGAGTGGCACTGCTTCTAGGCATTCTGCGTGGATCTGGGAAAAACAGGTTTGTACATAGATACCTTTCTTTCCAGTTTAAAACCACATGGTTCAGTGTAGCCTCAAACTTATTATATTTATAGCTTTCTTCCTTCGATAGTGAAAAATCTGGCTTAGGTAATCTTTAATGTATTTATATATTTGCTTATTTTACATTATGAAACAATATTCTGACATGTGCACCGTCACCTTCTCAGCTTTGACATTGCCAGTTAGCCTGACCATCCCCTCACCTCCAACTCTGCCTGGTCCTTGTCACCTCCTTCGCCCTGACTGGCTCTTTGCTGCTGACCACACTCCTAGTCCATGTTGTCTCCTCACCCTGACCCTGAAGGTCCTGCAAGGCGTAGTTTCCTCTTCAGCCCTGCAACATCTGGTGTTTCCTTGGCCTCTGCTACTTCCTCCTATCTCTGGGCCCTCCGGCCTGACTGGCTCTGGCTACCTCAAGGAGAGAGAGGGAAGAAGCCAAAGAAATATATTTTAAAGGAAAGTGGCAAGAAAGTGGAAGAGAATTTCTTTTTCTTTGCAGTTTATTCTTTTTTAATGTATCTTTTTATTTATTATTTTTAATATCTTTTTAATTTAACTTTTTAATATGACTGAAATTAACTTTGATATTTAGTGAAATGTGAGGCTCTGACTTGAAACATAGTTTTCTAAATAACAACTTTTCTCAGTACTATTTTGAACTGAAATGATTTCTTTTAAGGACACTCTAAAGATAATTTGTACTACACTAGCTTTTCATTGTACTAATTCATATGCAGGCACTGACATAAGTAGGATCTTTTTGCTTTGACTCTTATTTAACACTTATGTCTCTTAAATTATTACTATGTCAAGTTCACTGTAAAAAATGTATTTATATTAACAAGGTACCATAGTAATACATGATCTTAGTTAGCAAGCAGAATAATAGAAATGTTTATAAATAAGAACTTACTTTCTCCCAAGGAGCCAGAATCACCAGTCTTACATATTTTTCTACCTCCTTTTCTGTGCTCATTCAAACACAAATTTACACATGCCTACATGTAGATGCTTCAACTTATATGTGTTTCAAAGATTTATTTTGAATACATCATAAATGCAAATATGTAAATATGTAATAAACCTCAGATAGATCCCATCAAACTTAAGAAATAGAATATTACCATAAACCTGTATTTACCTATCTTTGGTCACATCTTCCTCCCATTCCCAGCCATAGAGATAACCCCGTGCTCAATTTTATGTTTTCTGTTTTATTTTATGTTTATTATACCTTTTCCTTTCTTGAATTCTTATTATTTCTTTAGTATGTTTTACTACTTTGCTATTTATGTATGTATTCCTAAAGAGTTGATTGTTTAGCTTCTGTATTTTACATAAATGGTGTCATTTGTGATTTTTATGTCACTCAATTTTATATTTGTGAAATACCTGTTTATTCTATTTTCTAAAATATGGATTCATATTATGTGTATAAATAAGACTCATACATATGTATATATTTTTCTAAAACATCCTCTTTATACAGTGTTTGACAGTAGTAATTATAGCTAACATTTACTAATTAACATGGACCAGGCACTATTCTAATTCCTTTACATATGTTGCTCTATTTAATCCTTACAAAATATCCTGTGACATAAGCACTATTATTA